GCATTGTTTGCAGTGTATCGAGCAAAGCTGCCGCTCGGCGTTCTAACTCCTTGTCAGCCTCTTACTGCTAATCGACCTTGCAAGAGCTCCGAGCCATTGTCACCATTCTGTGTCGTAGTCGTCGGGGCTTTAAAGCCTCGCGCGCGCCTCTCAAACTGGGTCGTTCGAAAACCATTGAGGATTTGTAAAACTAGCGCTGCTTTTTCCTTTTCATTCTGTCCCGTGCCGAGAATCCAACGTTTTCCTCTGGCCGGCGGAGAGCAAAGGTAATTCGAGTTACAATAATGCCCCTCTATCGCTCTGCTTTTTTCTTATCCGGAGCGGTCTTTCATTTCATCGAAGAGCTTTTTGATGGACGCAAAGAAAACGACTGCCCACAGCCCACGACTATGAATCACTGCTCCATGCACGACGAGAGCTTACTTACGATAATGCGAGTTCTAGCAGTGCGCGCGCGCGCGCGCCCTCCTCTCCTTCCTTTTTTGTGGGCATTCGTCAGAAATTGACCCGGCGAGTGCGCGAGAAGTACATTTTTAGACTACGCCTGCTTCCGTCATTTTTAGACGGCACATATGATTTGCCTTTGGCTGCGTGCACTATTCCCGTTATAGCAGCGCTCGATATGGTCTTTTATTTTCGTTTCGACAACGTCCGATTCGAGGGCGTTAATTTCCAATTGTCCGATCAGACAACGGACGTTTCGGTTCGCTTCTCGCGCGAGTTTCTCCCGTTGTCGCGATTTCGCGGATGCCCATTTCTTCCCGCGCGAGTTTTCAAGCGAAGCGAGTCTGCATTTTTTCTCGCGCAACAAATCCCGTAAAAAATCAGGCTTTTGCAAATCCGCGAAATTACAGCTCAGCAGTAAAAACGCTCGCTGTTCAAACGTCAGTTTTTACGGCGAGTTTTCGCGCGCGCGCATGTGCTTTTTTTGTATCAATGAAAAGAGCATTCCACAGGATTACCAAGTGGGAGGGAGAGCTTGCCCTCTCTCGCACTGGCGCGCGAGCGCGAATGGAAAACTTGGCACGAAGATTAAGCTTTTTGCTTTGTAACTTATGTTTTTTTTTTGCACGGCACTCTGTCATCAATAATTTTCATTTATTCGTTTGAACGTATAAATTCCACCGTTAATCTCCATTCTCCTCGTGTTTCGTCCTGTTGGAGCCGGTGAGTAACGATCCACTTGCGAAATTTCATTATTTACACTTTCTTTCTGCACTTTAAGCCATGGAGTTTGCGTTTATTGAAGCTCTGATTCACTTTGAGTTTTATCCTCTGTTAAGGTGAAATTTACGCATGAATAATTCGATAATTATATCTGCGGGTTATACGACTAATAATAATCACAATAATATTTGTTTAATTGAAATATGGCCATTAATAATAGATTATCAGCTATATGATATAAAGACGCTTAAGCATTCAATATTGAACGCGAGAGCATACATGTAATATTAATTATGGAATTGGGTAACGAGCGTATTAACGTAACCCTCTCTTGTACATGCATTAATAACGTGAAAATAGGGCCGAAAAAGACAGAAAGAAGTCTCTACTACGTTGTTGCCCACTGAACAATGCTCAATTACGGAAATTGAATAATCGTATTTCGAGGTAAAACGATTTAAACCCGTTCATTTGGCACACCGAAAAAAGATTCTGCTTTTTCCACGAATATCAATATTACGTTAATCAATTCATCGGCGCACACGTGCATGCAAAAAATATCTACTCTTGCGGACGCGAGTTGGCGTGTAATCGCTAATTGAAATTGAATTTTCGAATCAAACGCGCGCGCGAGCTTTTTTGTTTTTATCGATGATCCCGGCGTCGGAGAGGACGGGTCGAAACGCTTGTACATTTCATTGCTCGCTGGCCGGTGATTAAAATTGATTTAGTGCAAGGGCCTTCTCTCTCGCGCCGAATTCCTGTTCATCAGTCATTGATTGAAATATTCAGGTCGCGTGTATATCTTCGTTGGAAATATTGCCCATCCGCCTCTTCCACTCTTCTCCGCCGATGCCGTCATATGAAAAATGGTTAATTACACCACGCGTGTCGATATCGCCTCTCATTACACCCACTCGCGCGGATCTCTATTTCGCCGACTGTCAGATTTTTAGCTTTGCACAATGCGCTGCCGCTTGGATTATTCTAATAATTAGGTATTTAACGCGCGACCTACATTGCCACATTCGAAAACACCACTATAGTCGCCTTAGGAAACATTTTTGCTTCGGCAGTCGCGTCGGCTTGCGCTACGTTATTCCTGTTAAGCTTCGGCTCAACATGCTTGCATTTCCACATCACGACTAGTTCAAACACAATTTAAAAAAATGAAAAGTAAGGAAACGCTGAGAAAATGTAAGCTCATGGATAAACTGGCATACATTCAGCTGCATTCGAACCTTAGTTGCGATTCGCGGTAAAAATGGAAAAGCAATGATTGCGCAAGCGAAATTCGGATGGACGGCCAGCTTAATGAAGCAAAATGCCGTTTGTCATCAATTGTCTAGAACGTTCTCTAATTGCGAAAGCCTGTTTTTCCCTCAGATCATACTATAAACTACACCAATTACACTATCAAACCATGGCAATCCGAAACAATACATCCAGCCCTGCAAAAAGAGAAACAACTGTATTGGGATAACCATCGCAACATCAATAACAGGCTCAATCGAATTCGCAACAGAAAAAAAAAAAAAAAAAAAAAAAAAAAAAAAGTCGTTTACAAGAAAAAAAAAAAGGAAAGAGCGGCGCGCACACGAGCGCTTTCTCTCTTTTGGGCGCGTATGGATTTTTCTGTCGCTCGGCGTGAAATACGCGGTCCGCGCGCCGAGGCAACATCTGGCGATCTGTTAACGTTAGGCCGCCTAGAGCGCGTCGACGCCGGCCAAAAGCGCGCGCTTCTACGCGCGAGACTGAGGCAAGATAAATAAACAGGAATTAAATCTAGAAAGGCAACGCGAGCGCGGCCTTCGACGTCGTCGTTCCCCTTCCCTTTCTTTTATTTTTTAACCACTGCATTATGGAGTTTGAAGGGAAAAAATGTATTTTCGGTAACGTGCGAGTCGGCGACGAGTATTGTTTGTCAGAGTTGCGGTAAAAATGTACTTATCCGTAGTTTTTTTATCGACGTGACGGCTGGAGTGCGTTCTGGTAAAACAACTCGTTTGCGCGCATACAACTAATTATGATGATAAATAAAATCGAACTAGCGGCCAAATACCAAACAATTGGTTGATTTGATATCTGGAGTGAAGGAATATTAAGACGTAATGACGAGCGATCACAGCCTCTCTTTGCGTTATAAAGTAGCACTCACTCGGCAATGAAAACTTATCGATAGTTTAATTAAGCCGAAGTAAGCTTCTCGTTGCCTCGTAAAGAACATCAACTCCGTAAAAAAAGAAAACAGCCACAGCATGTACAGAGAAAGCTCGCGCAAGCACGCAAGACTCCTATCAGAGAAGCCCCTAAGGCCACAAGCGAGAGAGAGAGAGAGAGAGAGAGAGAGCGGATAAGGATCGTCCACGTTGAGGGTGAGCGATGAAGGATTAGCCCGAGCTCGAGGATCACGCAACTGCGTAATTAATCCGGGGCCCCGCGCCCAACAGATCCCCGCGCAAAAGCCCCTCCGGCGATAATTGCACTCTCTTTCGTTCTCTGCGTCGGAGCCAGTGACTCAGGCGATTGTTTGCAGCCCTCCCGTTTTCCAATTTTCCCTTGTTTTCGGAACTGACCTCGATAATGTTCGCGCGCCGGAAGCGTTCGAGGCAAGTTGACGGGACCCTCGGGTTCGGCTTGCCGTGGCAAGATCGCGCGCGCCACTACGGCACTCGCGGCCGCGGGAATTCACTCGCGGCTCGCAGTCGAAACGAACGGTTGCCTGAAAACCGACGGAAACCGTCACAGGCCCGAGGATAAGAGAGCCGTAAAAGTCGTGGACCACGCGGGGCCGCGCGCGCGTTTCTTATGCGCGCGTCGGACACGATTACGAGCCAAGTTTAGTCCCCGGGCTGCTCGCCATTATTATCGCGAGTTTCGCTTCCTATTTCGTGTTTATGAAAGCGGCCCTCCCGCGGCGCTGGCGAGTTATAGCCTCAGGTGCGCTTCGGCCCCGCGCCCATTGTGCCATCGCCGCGCACACGCACGCGGCTATATGCCGGCTGCACGTGCACGCTGAAACTTAGCTCTCGCGCGCTGAATATCCTCGTCGACAAACGAAAGCCAATAAAGCGCAAAGCCCCGCCTCGGAGTGAATACAGCTCGCTCGCACCGATATCATCGCGTCGTTTCCTTCTTTTTTTTTACCCGCGCTCTTTCCCTCTCTCGCTCTCCACGGGCTCTGCATCGTAATTCAAGGCGCGCGCAGCATAACATTTAAAACGATTTCCGCTGGCAGCGCTGCCAAGACGACGACGACGACGACGATGCCTTGTTTCGCCGGATAGATTAACGAAAGGACGAGGGCGCCGGAATAATGGCAGCTGAGCCGCTCGGCAGCCAACTGCCGCTCTTAAATTCCACTTTGTCATTTCTTTTTCCTGCGAGCCGCGCCATCTTCCGACGAATCGCGGCCTTCGTTTGTTTTCATGAGGACCGCTCGTCGCGTGCACGTGCGCGGGTCGCGATTCAGCCGGCGGGCTCATTCGCAGTAATCGCGCGATGGTCGTAACGCTGCCTCGTCGAGAGACATCGCCGAGGTTGCGACGGGAGCTGAGCAGTCGCCGGCGTAAACGACACTCGTCGAAGAGAGTCGCCGGGGCCATTAATAATCCGCCGGCACGGGCTTGCCAAATGGATAGTCGAAGCGACAGTGGTAGCAGTAGCAGCAGCAGCAGCAGCAGCAGCAGCAGCAGCAGCAGCAGCAGCAGCAGCAGCAGCAGCAGCAGCGCCGAGGTTATCGGCGAAGCGGCTTCTGCCGCTGCTCTCGATGCTCAGCGGTGCATGAGTCTGATGTATCGCCGGCGACTACCAAAAATTAAATCTGCACTCACCCCTGGCAGAGTCCGCTTCTCATGCAGAGCGTTCTGGGCGCTGATCGCACTGTCACGGCTATAGTAGGTCAGGAAGGCGCAGCCTGCAAAATAACAAAGTTCCGTTAATGAGCTCGCCAAGTCGTGATTGCTTCCGCCGGCCGATCGAACCTCTTTGATACTCCCGGAGCTAATTGGTCTTTGTGGAGGAGCGAGGGAAGCGGCATGGGCAGGCCTCGGCGGATCAGCGTGCCGCGCGATAATGAGCGAATGTGATATCGCATTAGCCGGCCGCTATGATCGCGTATCGCAGTGCCGGCGTTCGTTAAGCCCAGCACGTATAATTGATACCCAGCCAATTAATTTGATTACTTTCGCTCGGGCTGGACACCGTCCGATCGATGAAGCGCGTTTCAGAAGCCCGGCAGCCGTCGAGCGCTCTATTGCCGAGCGGCCGAGGCAAAAGAGGGAAAAACAAAAAAAACCGGTCCGAGTCTATCGCGGCGGGCACTGCACAAAAGCCGTCCCGAACAACAAGCGCATACACACTTCTTCGGGCGCATTCGAGTCGAGCGTCATACACAACTATGCGGCTCGCATTTAATGCGCGCTTATTGAGACGCCGCCTCGCTCTCTCGTATCGGCGATTTACGTAGGCGCGCGCGCTCGCTCGCTTTCATGCGCCACCGCTATGTACCCCATTGAAAGCTAGTCGAGAGAGCGAGAGAGAGAGAGAGAGAGAGAGAGAGAGAGAGAGAGAGAGAGAGAGAGAGAGAGAGAGAGAGAGAGAGAGCCAAGGCTTTTAATTGCTCGATCGCATTACGAAGCTCGTTTCCTTTGCCGTGCTCCTTGCTTTTGTGCGAGCGCGCGCGCGCTCTCGAGTGGATCATCGTTTTATCGGCTGCGGGGAGTGCCCTGGGATTATTTTACGAGTCTCGCGATCGTTACCTGCTTGCGCTCTCGTCACCAAGTACACGCCCGATTCGTCCGCCGGTCGCGTCGATGAAACGCTCTCGGCATGGCTCACCGGCACCAAGAACGACGACAGCCCGTGCACTTTGCCGAGCGCCAGCGGACCATCCCTCGCGAAAGGAAATATTTACGCCGGGCGCTCCGTCGTGCGCGCGCGAGAACGACCGGCAGCAAGAGGGCGCGAGGTATCTATCAGCGAGCTCGACGCGCATCGCCGATAAATCGCCGCACGTGCGATAAATTCCGACCAAGTCCTGCTCCTTCTGCGCCCGCGCGCGCTCACCGGAAAAACCTATTTATTACCGGCGTTACGAGCTACACGTGTCGGCTTACCTGCTATCATCGCCGAGAAATTTTTTTCCTCGACCCTTCTCGCGCAAGCGCGATTGTTTTTCCGTTTTTCCCTTCGTTTCTTCTCTCGTATTGGAGAAATTAAGCTTTCCCGTCGCTGCCCGTCCTAGCAGTTACTCGTAGTTTTCCATTGAATTCCAGTGAATTGGCACGAGTGAGGTCAATTTTCGCGGAACGCTCCGAATTTCGTGGTCGCTTTGGTCGATCAAAGACATCACTCATCGATTAATTTTTGAAAGATTGACGTTGCACCGAAGTTGCTTTGCCGATAAAAAGGGAACGTCGTATTAGAACTGACTCGATTTTAAAATTTTGTCATTTTTAATAATCATCGCTCTACGGATGTTTCATTGTTGGTTAATAAGAGAGCTGCAGTCTTTGCATGCGATGGGATTGATGGAGAGACACCTTTCGGCCAGCAAGGTAAACTATCGCAACATGGATAAAGGACCACCAAAGACGATCCATTATTCTTAGCGAAACTCGTCAATTTCTCGTGGCTCGGAAACGAGGCTCACATTAATTTGGAAAAAAGAAACGGCTCGCGATAGCAAATCAACAGAGCTCGCAAAACGATCGTTCGAGAGCAATAAAGGAAGCTCCGATAGCGCGGCGGCAGCAGCATGGCTTCCGCGTGCGAAAAATATAGCTCGCATGCACATTTATTTCTCTCGCATTACGTCGCAACTTCCCGTCCCGATCCAATAGGGCGTCCTTTTTCTTGCTACCACGCGCTAAATCATAATCCCTCCGCTCTCGCGCGACAGCAGTTTCAATTACGCGGAGCGGCCAGGCGGCCGATTTCTACTCGTCATCGCGTACTCCCATTGTTTTGTCGCTCAGTTCGCTCGGGACTGTTTTACGGCGCAGCTGTAAGGCGCTCGGTCAACGAGCGCGCCGTGCGTGCCACGCAATTTCGGCGCTCGGAAATATACGCCAGCCTCGAGCGTCGGACCTACTTGGACGCTTCGCCCGCAAAAGAGTCCATAATTTCTCGAGTGTCGCCCGCGATCGTGCAATAACAGAAGTATTCTCGCGCGGCACGTCAGCCGTGCCCCCGGAAGGGGGGCGAGGTCTGGGAGGAAGATGTGCATGCGCAATAAACTGCGGAGAGAAGGAAAAATCGGGCGCCACACTCGATGCCGGCGCGCGCAGGGCGTACAAGCGAGCGAGGCGGCCGACAGTGAAGGAAGGAGCAAGAAGAGAGCGCGAGGGCCGCACCTGGCGCGAAATTGCTCGAGAGATTAAAACGTCTCGGCAGCAGTAGTGGGGCCTTGCTGAATATCGCGTTATCGCCAGAGCCTAAGTGAAGCTTCCTTCGATCGATGCGCAGAGTCTGTCGAGCTATGCTCTCGTCTGAAATATGGCCTTTGATTAAAATGTCGACGCTTACATCGAGCTTTTTCCTTCTTTGGGGGAGGCGGACAGACGGGTTGATCGTGTCGTAAGACGGAGAGCTGCAGCTAGTTCGCGCGATTCTGGCGCTTTCACGTCGATTGTCTCTTCAGATTAGATTACTTGGACAATGTCAACGTGCTTTTCACCTTTCGTACTGACTTCTTATTAAATTTGGCTTTTCAACTGATCGAGTTGAGATTTGACGATGAATATCCAAAAACATCAACTAAGATGAAAGCGCACACATCGTTGAGTTCAACAATTTCCTCTTGTAATTATTAGCGCATTGAGATTATTTTGCGAAGCTGCTCTCGACAATACAATCTGATCGCGGGGATTAACCACCAGATGGACTCTATTCGTTAGTGAACGCGCGCAAACTCCTGCCTTAATTTAACATATGTTTCTTCGCAATTATCGAGTGCGCTGAAAAAAGAATCCATTAGACGTAGTTTTCATCAATGTATTACTTGACAATATTTTCAAAATGATATATTCGAGAACGAAAGCAGCACATCTACAAAGTACACTTGCGTTGACAGTGAACGCGCGCCTACCGCTTAGGCATCCGTTCCAGTGCAAAAGAGAAAAAAATAGCCCAGCATATTCATCAAGCGAACTCTCGCAGTTCTAATTAAAACAAAATCCAGCAGCCGGGCCAGCAACCGCTAAAACCAGAAGAGCCCCTCGCTGGCTGGCGCAGGTCGACTTTCTTGCCCCGAAATTTTTTCCCGCGCACGCTCCGCAGGTGCGCAGTATGTTTTACACGGGGCGGCGGTGGCAAAATTGTGCTCGTTAAATTCGAATTTGCTCTGGCGGCCGCGAGAACTTTGGCAGTATTTCCAGATTACGCCAGCGAGCCGCGCGAAACAAAGCAAGGCGCAAAAAGCAGAAACAAAGTTTGATTGTTTTGTCCCTTATTAAAAGAGAGAGTGGGGATCGTTTAGCTGCCGTTAATCTTGAAGAAATGGGGAGAGAAAATGTATCTCTCTGTGCTCAATTACGTAAAGGCGCGAGCTTATCTTTGTCGAGAGCCGACGACTTATCTTGGGCACGTTTCGGCGGCCAAATTTATAATATTCCGGCGCTATCTGCTACAGCAGTTTCTCGACCAATCGCCTGGGGAGCGCGGAGTGGGCGGAGTCGTGGCGGTCGGATTTGCGAGCACGTGATGATGGTGCTGATGGGGTCAAGGAAAAGAGAGCGCCTCGGGGCCTGCAGCGCGCCCGACGATGTCGCGCAGACGAGTGCCGATGTGGTCGGGCCGCGAGTGTCGCTCAACCTGCCGTGCGACAGCCGTGCGACAGCCGTGCGACAGCCGTGCGAGCTCGACGCTACAGGCTGGCATGCGGCGAAAGTTGAGCCCGAGCGCGCACCGAGGACTGCGCGCGTGGAAGGGCGCAACTCGTAGACGCGCTGCTGCTCGTAGGCTCGGCAGAACAAGACAAATAGCGGGGACAAAAGGGAGCGAGCCGGCCGCGGCTAATGCACTACGCTCACTGGACAACGTCCAAGTCATAAGCTGGATTTTATGAGGGTCTATCGATCGATCTCTCGGCGAGCGCCGTCCGAACTCGCTGCTTCGCTGTTTTTACGACTGCCCTCGTCAGTTAGCGGCCTGCCCGCGCGGCTGCCTATTTATTTAGCCTTATTTGTCGCCGCGATAACGAGAACTCAGCTGCGAGTTGCAGGCAGGCAGTGCGGCAATCCCTCCCCGTCTAGCAGATACCCTCCGATCGTTTCGTTAGCTTGCGGGCGCGTGCCGTTCATGGCAAACCGCTCGGCCCGGAGGGCAGCCCTAAAAGCCGCGATAGAAGTCGCCATCGAAAGCCTCGCCGAAGCGAAACAGAATGATTCTCGCGCAAGACTCTGTCGTCTGCGCCCCTAATGGATCGGCGAGTAGAGGGCTCGCGCGCGACCGTCGAACAAAGGCATTTGCATCGGCGCGCGGCGCCAAATTGAAATGCGCTGCTCGAATGGACAGCGCGCCACGCGCACGAAGTGACTTCTGTAATAGGACTCGACGGTTAATACGGGAGAGCTCTGCCGCTGATGTTCTGCTGGCTGCGGCGACGTTTTTCCGCAAAACTTGTAATGAGAAAATTCCCCCTCGCGAAATTTGCATTTTTATTTGTGTGCTTATTAGGGACGGAGGGTGGAGATTCAATGTTTTTTTAATAGGATGCGATTCAAGTTTCGCTTGCAGCGAGAGACAGATAGAATAGATGTATGAGTAATGTGTTTCGTAACGACAAGCTTGGCCGGGAGTACATTTGCGATGTAAAAGAGTAAAAGTCATCAAGCGTGACTTTGAAGTTTCAATTGAAAATTGATTACGGCGGCTCTGGATGCGCGAAATAGACAGAGGAAAAGATTAAAAAACGCGACGAGTATTGCAAGTCGCAGGTGTTTCGAAACTCTGTCCAGTAGTGACGGATGATCGAGACGAAGAAAAAAGTACGCGGAACGATAAGAAAAATGGCGATACAAAGGAAAAGGGTAGGTATTGTTTGTCCGTCGTTTGACGCTGAAACAAGGAAAATTCAATCGGTCGATCCCCTCATTAAAGTAGCGCATTCCGTAAAAGTTGGCTTGCGAGCTTACCGCGATGACACTGCCGGGAGTTTCAAAAGGACTTAATAACTTTCTAAGACTTATTTTTGTATTTTGCGCGCGCAGAGGCTGTTGCTGCCCCGAGAGCCATTAAAAATCCCCGGGACTTGGAACTTTCGACATACGTTCAAGTTAAAGCCCCCCTGCGCTCGCTCGCGACGGTCTCTCTTGAATAAGAATCAGTAGGCGCTCACAGCGGCTGAATTTCTTTTCTTTTACCGAAACTCTCCTTTCGAACATTTTCTTGCTGCAGATCGTCGCTGAAAAAAGATAAGGCAGCCATTGCACACAATTAGGAAAGCAGAAAGGTGGCGAGGAGAAGAAAAAAAAAGAGTCTGATTTCAATTACGGCGAAGATAGCAATCAGTCTCATAAAACAGTACAATTTACCTTAATACCCCTCAGGCCGAGATTGAGCCCCGAGAGAGAGAGAGAGAGAGGAATATAGTGATACACATGGTTAGGGGGAGGGGAAGAAGGCGAGTAGCGAAGCCTCTTAAACGGCTTAATGCAAATTAAAACGCAAAATGATCGCTTAGCGCGCGCGAGACAAAATTATCCCCGTCGTCGTCGTCGTCGGGCGACTTCATTACCACCTTAAAAACTGCCGTGCGCGCGCCGCTTGCAGAATTGCTCGTCGGAATTAACTTGTGGCAGCCAAATTGAAATAGTAACACCATGTCGCACTTCGATTTCTTTTCCTTTACAGATGCGCTTTTAATTATAAAGATGAATTAACCGCGCTAATTTGAGAAATTTCTTGGAATTAGGTAACATTCAGCTCCAGACCGGAGAGATGAAGATCGCTACTAGCGAAGACTTATCTGTTGGGCTCATTTGCCTCTGGAGATTAGTTGCGAGAGGGACTTCATTCTAACGCGTAATTTACAAGGCAAACGAGCTTTTCCGCGTAAATGACAAATGCAGTTTTCGATTTCGTTTGCAGACAACGACGCTCCAATGGCAAAATTCCCAACATTGTTTCCGAGCAATCAACACACATCTTACAGGTTGACTTCAATCTATAGGCTGACCTTTAAAAATCTGCGGATGGGTGTTTGCACTTTCATAGATCTTAGCTTATCACGAATCTTTATTTAGTGGGCCAGAAGTTTATTGTCTAAATCAGCGCAGGCATTGCCGCAGTCTTACTCTAAACAATACGCGGAGCGCACGACGCTTAGCACTGAAAACTTAATTATCGACCGACCCCAGAGTTATCTACAATGACTGGCAAGTACTTGGCATGATTACGGATCAATGCAGATAAATATAGTTTCAATAGTGACTAGCGAATACTAAAAGAAACAAAGTGAAACGTCCGCTTAGCAAGAACGCGCACCTCGTTGCAGTCAGATTTGAATACCCCGGGAATCACGTCCAACTAAATTATGGACCGTTGGTCTGGTAAAGTAGCCGTCGTCACCGGCGCTTCAGCTGGTATAGGTTTGGATATTGCCAAAGCGTTAGTTCGCCGGGGCATGATAGTTGCCGGATTGGCCAGACGGAAGGCCAAAATGGAGGTGAATATTCATGAGCGCAGATATGCGGTGAATTCGTTTTCCACATACATACCATTTTTCTTGCCTAAATATAGGAAGCTATGAAAGACGCGAGTGGACCGGGAAAATTTTATGCAGTCGAGTGTGACGTAACGAAGGAAGAACAAGTTCGCGACGCCTTCGATTTTGTAGGGAAGAATTTGGGATGCGTGCGAGTTTTGATTAACAACGCTGGCGAATTAAACAAGGGAGAAATGACAAGTATGTTCGATCGCGCGAAATATCGAGCTTTTGTGTAGTAATGGTTTTTAAAATTCGCAGCGATGGACAGCAATCAGCTTGCAAATGTCGTCAACCTCAACATTATGGGCCAGCTACATTGTACACGTCAAGCTGTCAAGATGATGCGAGAAAATGAACACCCAGACGGCCACATTATCAACATGGGCAGGTACGCACAGTCATCAAAGTAAGCTAAAGGAGAGATTTTAAACTGTTCAATCTGCAGCCAAGTAGGTCACAAAGTGCCATACGTGGAAGACTTCAGTCTAAACATCTATCCGGCGACGAAGTTCGCATTGCGCGCCCTCTCGGAGACACTGCAAAACGAGTTGCGCGGCACGCAGATTCGCGTGACGGTCAGAATAATTGCGTGAACGTCACCAGCGTAATGAGCCCATGAATCAGCCTTTATTTTTCTTACTTTTTATAGCACGTGAGCCCGGGTGTTGTGAGGTCGGATTTTTTCGAAACAGCCGGTGCCGATCCGTCATTTTTGCAAATGGTCGCTGCTCTCGAGCCCGAGGATGTTGCCGATGCAGTCGTTTTTGTACTTGGAACCAAGCCGCACGTGCAGATTGCCGAACTGACTATTAGACATCTTAATGATTATTTTAGATGAATTTCATTGGACTTCCCGAATAATCCTCGTGCTTGATGGTGGGTATGTTAACGAACTCCTGCAGATAATAATTAATTTGTAATTTTCATGGCAGATTTATCCCAGTTGATTATTAAATAAAACAGTTACATTAGATTTGCTAAATCTCACATTTTTCACAGTCTACGGTACATTTCTGAAAGTTGCTCGGGACACTTCAAAATTTGAATCGACAGCAGTATATTTCAATAATTGACAATAAAAAAATGCTATTCTAACAATGGCCGAGAATCTTGTCTTATCGCGCACAAGTCCTCAGTGCTGGCGATATATAGACAGCTCGATTTCCACGAGAGCAGAAAAAAAGTCCGAAGAACGTGGGCAAAGAAGAAGGTTCCCGCGGGAAAAAACCCCGTGGAAGTTGTTAGCCGGCTATTGCTGTGTGTGAGAGAGAGAGAGAGGGAGAGAGTGACAAATGGCACGTATTTACCTTGCGGTCGAGGCGCGACGCAGACGAATCCTCGACGGAGAGAGAGAGAGAGAAAGAGAGAGAGAGAGAGAGAGAGAGAGAGAGAGAGAGAGAGAGAGAGAGAGAGAGAGAGAGAGAGAGAGAGAGAGAGAGAGACAGACAGACAGACAGACAGCAGCTATATATTTTTTCCTTCTTCCTCGCTATATGTCTCCCTGCCTTCAGGTGCACTGTAATTCAGTAATTTGTCAACATTTTTCCTTCCTCTCTTTCTCTCCCTCTCTCAAGGTCAATGTCATTCCACTTTTCCCTTTTCCAAAGTTTTGCATATCTACGTATGAACAAAATGAACGAGAGAACGTGAAAGGCTTGCTCGACTTCCTGCTCCATTTTTTATCTAGAGAGCGAATTCGAGAGAGAGCCTCTATCGACACGGAACTTTCTGTCTATCACATCGATTTTACTTTTTTTTTCATACACGCAACTGCCACGCTATGCGACAAAAAAGAAGTCCAGTTCTGGTATAAAACCTGTACTCCGACACTCTCGCTCCGAAAAAAAGAGAAAATCTAGTCTACTTGCTCGTCATAAAAAAAAATGCCGAGTGATATCTCGATTTTACGAAGAGAAAGAGCGCACGAGCGGCCTATTGTTTTCGTTTTTTTTCGCGTGCGGACAAAAGCGAAGCAGCGCCATTTTCACGGAGCGATCGCGTAGCCATAAGCTCGCGCTCTTTTGCATGACAATGAAGCCTTTCGTCTCACGCATAGCCGTGCGCGCGCGCGAGAGAGAGAGAAAGAGAGAGATGACGTGTTTATGAGGTGAGAGAGAGAGAGAGAGAGAGAGAGAGAGAGAGAGAGAGAGAGAGAGAGACAGCACACGCGGATTTTGTTTCCAGCGCGGTGGTTGCGATTTTTTTTCTTTTTTGATTTTGTTTTGCGAATCCCAACGGTAGATCCGACGAGACGATCTCTCGGCACATTTTTGGCGAAAGGAGAGAAAAAAAAACGAAAATAAAAGGCGTCTCGCGATTTCAATTAAAAGTAAAAAATAAAAGAAAAAACTGGCCGAATGCGAATTCAAAGCCAAGCACGCACGCGCAGGCACGGCGGCTGGCGAACCACAGACACGGTCGCGCACAACGTCAGAATTCCCAGCGCGTCGACGATCTGGCTGCTGGTCGTCGCGAGCTCTCTCGCTCTCCCCAACAAATCCACGAGGAGACACGTGTCGGTTAATGGGCGGCGTAGGCTCGCGATCATTGCCAAGCCCTCGCGACTCTCGGCCATACGTGCGCCGACTGCTCAACTACCTCCGACGCCGACCACAAGCTGTCTCTGATTTTCTGCTTAATTTCGAGTGCTTCTTCTTCTCTTTTCTTCGAGGGACTGGCTTGATACGTTTGCAGGAGACGCAATGTCTGCAAGTAGGTCCGAGCACTTTCCCAAGCTTTGCATTCGTTTGCAGTGCCAAGTAAACAGTGCGTACGTAAAAATCATCGCCTATAACTATGCACTTGGTGCAGCTTTTATACGCCGATATAACGTATTTATCTTTACGATGCATTACGCTGAGCTTTTACTACTTCCTGGGGGCATTCAATACTCTTACCCAATCTTCTCTCTCTCTCTTTTTTGCTCTCACGGAAATGCAAATTACTTTCGATAATGCATATACAGACTGGCTTCGATTAAAAAATATCCAAAGAGAAATGAGAGAAGGGATTATAGGCGGATCTTGAGCTATTTTGTTTCGCATAAATGCACTCAAAGTGCAATGGACCCTGTAATTGTATATATCGTCGATAACATGGCTATAAGTACGGATTTACACGACCATTAGTAATGAGCCTGCAAGTAACGTTGTTACTTGAATAAACTCTAACTATGTTATACTTGCAAGGACATTGCATCGAAAGTCAACGCCTTACTTTCCGTAAATATTCCCAAGGACAAAAATTCAATTATGTTTGATCGGCTTCTGTTGGACCCAGTCAACTAAAAAAAAATTGCGTTTGTTTCAAGGGCAACATCGTTAAACGTTTGACGTTACCGCTCAACACTGCTCGAGCATATATTTTTATTGCGCGCTTGTGTCTTAAATATTTATGAGAGAAGTAACGAATTTGGTTGACAAAAGTGAAATGAGCGAGTGCCAGTAACGACATGAAAATTCAATTAGTCGATAATTGATGAGCACCCACTCATTTGGCGGGCCAAAGCCGCGAAACAATGAGCACACCGCAAATCGCAGATAAAAGGAATGCCCAACTCTGCTAAACGTCGAATTGCACTTGGCACGCGTGACAGCACGCAAAGTCTGAAGCGATCGCGTGCAAAGCCGCGATTTACTTGTAGGAAAAAAGCAAAAGCTGTTCTCTTAAAGCACGTCGGGCGGGTGTACAATATTAAAGCGACGCTTTGCCCCCGAGACAATGTCTGAGCAACTCGACTCCTCCTTGAAAGCGAAGGTGGCCCCCCGTTCGACGCGCACGCCTTGACCAAGTGCGTCACGGCAGAGGCCGCCGCGTTTGGGTGTTTGGTTTCTCGCCGCTGCGGTGCCCCGGAGAGCGCGCGCACGTTGCGCTGTCGGCGAGCACGAAGATCAGCCGCGCGTCCTCGGCGAGGAGTCGTCGCTTAAAGCGGCTTGGACGCTCTCGCGGGCAAACATAGCCGCACACAGGCACGCGGGCACGAGTGTCGCCGAGCGCATCCAGTTTGCTGCTGGCGGTCCTCGCCGGCAGCAGGCAGCAGGCAGCAGGCAGCAGAAAGCCTCTCTCCCTTTCTAGACACACAAAGGCGCCCGCGCGCGCGCGCGCGCGCACAAACCGGCTTCCTCGCGGTAAAACAAAGAAGGCGGCCCAGGAAGCGAGAGCGTACAATGGCCGCCGCCGCCGCCGCCGCCGCCCGCCAGAGTTAGGGTTACAAGCTTCTTGACGAGTTGCCAAGTTTCGAGCCAGAGATGTATATCCTCCGCCAGGCTGCTCTGGAAAAATGGAGGAGAGGGCGCGCGCTGTGAAAATTTGAAGAGAAGACTCTCTCTCTCTCAGGGTGTGGCACACTACACCTAATTCTTAGCCCACCGACAGACGGAAAATTTCAATCCCCCGAGCGTTTAGCACCACACCACTCGTTTGAAACGCTGCCAGCAACGCGAGCTTCTTCACGCTGCTCCCCCCCCCCCCCCCCAAAGCGCTCCAACTAAATGTTTGAGCGGCACGCAGGTATCACGCGCTGCCGCGATCGCTTTGCCAGGTGTCGCGCGGAGATGCCGTCACGCCTCCTCTTTTTTCCGGCTTGATCTTTTCGCCCGCGATTGATGACGCTAAAAATGCACTGCCGGGCGAATCCGATAAATTCCGATGGTGAAAGAAGAGGAATTTCAATTTGCACGCTGTCGAAAAAAACAAAGAGCGGGAAGGGAGAGAAAAGAAGGAACGACGCGTGTTTCGTCCTAGAAAACTTCCGTATAACGGAAGGGAAGCTGCGCTGTTACGCGATGCTCCAGTTTTTTATTCTCGTAAGGGCTAGCACAAAGTATTTCAGGAATGAGCCAAGAAAAGTTGCGAGAACACACACTTTTCTTTCGACTGGCGAATGCTCGATAAGTGTTGAAACGCACGTCTAGAGCGGAAAAATCATCAGTCCGTCAGAGCCAAACGCCCCTAGGATGAATATTCAGCTCGGCCAATTATGATTCCCTTTGTCGAAGCTTCGCGGGCGCATTAAACAAATTGAGATTGTACAACTGCACTCGAAATCAAAGTCAAGTTTCGAGAGCGGAGAATGACAGTTGGCGAAAGTTTGATACCTGTCAAAGACGAATACATTGAAAAGAGGACGAGAGGGAGTCCTTGTCAATAGGCAACTTTCGCCCAGCCGGTATTATTTACATTTTAAACACAAGCCGAGGACTTTGATATTTGACGTTAGTTTCCCCGCGTAGAATTTGACTTTCAAAGTGATCAAGTTTCAACTTCCAATAAAATCCGTATATACGAATATTCAAGCGCTCGCGCGCAGCCTTAACTTTGAATACATTCGCCAAATCTAATTTCGCTCTGCTCTCCCTCGGTAAACTTAGAAATGTTCTCTATTTTTTGTATCTACACTGAACGCTATGCGTTCGTGTGTGTGTGTGTGTGTGTGTGTGTGTGTGTGTGTGTGTGTGTGTGTGTGTGTGTGTGTGTGTGTGTGTGTGTGTGTGTGTGTGTGTATGTATTGACTTTTGTTTGAAAAGCCAAAGTTGCCGAGTGTGTAAGCTAATCTATATAGTTTCGAGTGCCACAGTTGGAAAAACTTTTGCTCGAGAGTCAATATTTTTGCTTTGCGCGATGGCGGAGCGTGACTCTCCTCGGATTCGACGTAAAAGTGCTTTTACTGCGCGACGGCCATCGTTTAGTTGCTAATAAAACACGAGCTGCATAGAGCAGCGCTAAAAGATTCGTTCTCTTGCGGCGCGCCGACGCTCGGCCGGCGAAGAAAGAAAGGGAGAGAAAGAGTGTATAAATCCTCGATTCGGTAATTCCGCGGGCTCGCCGGCATAAATCCAACTCGCATGTGTGCAGCCGCAAGATTCAGAGACTCTTACCAGCGGAGCGAAAGGGAAACTCTAATCCCCGGGCTAGTTCGACCCGAGCGAGAAAAGTACAAGGCGAGAGCCCGAGGGAGGCAGCGGAAAAAAGTGCCGCCAGAACAAAGCCGAATAATGAGGCAGCGAGAGTGGAAGAATCATTGGCGGCAAGTAGTTTGCAGAAACCACCTGACAGATGTCTTGGCCATTGCAGTTTTACTATTATTGTTTTTTACTTTTTTTCCTTGGAATCGGGTACCCGCCTACGAATTGTCCACGTACGTAAAAAATGCTGTACTCGATAAATCATCAGAAACGTCCTTTTGAACATTCAAGTTTTCTTTGGATAGACGGACAGTATCTTGGTCGGTGCACATTGGTTGGACAGATGACATTTAGTTGAAATAACGTTTGAAATCAAACAGAATAAAAACATTGACGAATGGTGTTTTGTGCGAACCACATCTGTGTCGACGATAATTTCTTGTGTTAGGATGTACGAGTAAATATCAAGTTCGTAATGGTGATTTTCAATGCGCGAAAAATTATCTCGCCTCGAAACTAATCGATTCCGTGAGGTTTAGCCAAGCCCATAAATCTCTTATACGCGAGCATTAATTCGTACACAACGTAAAGTAATATTCAGAGAGAGAAAAGGGGCCAAGACATAACAGGTTTGGCTAAAAGAAGAAGGGGAGAAAGTAAAATCCATTTCCCATCGAAAGTTGGGGAAGCAGGAATAAAAGAACAATAAGGGACAATGCCCGAGAAAGGCTGCTGCTGTTGCGGGTATAAGAAAAAGATTGAGATAGGTTTCCGTACATGCGAGAATGAGAGAAAGACCGAGATAGAAAAGGGATTCGTATAGTTTAATATCCGGACTTGGCCTCCGTTAATAATCTTTCTCGAGGCTCCCTTCTTTCTGCTGTGTAGGCTAATGCGTGCGAGTGCCATGCCACTTATACTTCGCCAGTGTTTTTGCTCTTTCTTTACGAGACCGGGGGACATTAATTTTCTTCTCTTGGCCAACGAAGAGAAGGTACTTTCGATTGATCGACAAGCCATAAAAGTCAAACGCGAGCTGGATTAATCTTTCTTATTGAAAGCTCAACTCGCGACAGTCGCATGCGCACTCTCGCGCGACATTCATACTTTTGCAGGCGCTGGCTAAAACTGGGTTATTAGACATAATTAATCACGGGCGAGAGGAAAGAGAGGCTTGCACCCGCACCGCTAGTACGTCGCCGCCGCTGGCGAAACTTTCATCAAACTGTCGGAGCGGAAATTCGCCGTCGGAGCGACGCCTATTAAATTTTGGCTGACCCCTCTCTCTCTCTCTCTCTCTCTCTCTCTCTCTCTCTCTCTCTCTCTCTCTCTCTCTCTCTCTCTCTCTCTCTCTCTCTCTGACTTATAGGCAGACGAAGCGTAAGCCCTACTCGTTAAAGCTTCGTGCTTGCGCTATGGATATTGTGTTGCCCTCGCCCTCGCGATTTTTTTACGATGCCGAAAAAATGCTCGCTTCTATCGACCATTATTTCGCTGCAGCTCGAGTATCAAAATATTCTTTTCTTTCGGGCCAATTTTCGGTCCAGCTCGCTGCGACGGAGAAAAACTTTGTTACATCGCCTTTTTCTCAGGGTTAGCTCGCGTGTGCCAGGCATCATTTTTGCACAACCAGCTTTTCATCTCGAATTTCTCTCTCGTTGAAAAAAACAAAAGAAAAAAAAGAAGGACAAACAAACAAACAAATAAAAACAAAGGAAAAAAGAAAAATCGCCTCTGAAAATTTTCTTGGCGCATTTTCAAAGCGATAACTAAGCCTCGAATGCCCGCGTCATCTTTTTAATTAAATTTCCTGCCTCCCACTCGCCCAAAAAAGAGAGAGGGTGGATGGAAAATTGGAGGCAGCAGCAACGTTCTTGTTACAACACGCACACACGCACATACACAGAGCTGGCTGTTTCATTTTTCGCTGCTGCGCGCTCGCTCGCTTTCGGGAGCTTATCCGACTTGCCTCGCGCTATTTATTTCTCTCAGCTCATTTATCTCGGCGCGATCGTCCGTCTCGCTGTCTTGTTTGCCGCTCTGTCGCACTGTGTTTGCTAGTTTTTGCCCTCCTCTCTCGCGCACTACACTTTCTTTCTTTTTCTTCTGCTCTCCCTTTTTTCATTCTGCACTACCGCCGCCGACGCCGCCGCCGTCGCTACCGATAGCGTCGCGCCCATCGAATTCACTGTTTATTCGGGGTATGATGGAGTACCAATTTGTTTTTCCCTCTTTTATTGCGCACGTCAAATACATGAAAATCGCGAGGCTATTCGTTCTTTCGATCGGTTTTCGTCATCGGTTATATCAAGCCGCGCGTGATTTACGCGGCCGGAATAATGAAAAAAAAGAGCGGTCGCGGGAGAATGGCGTGGGTTAAGTGTTAATCTTGGGTTTTTGGTGGGAGCGAGCGAGCGAGTGCCAAGTCTGCGGGATTATCGCGCATCTTGTAATTGCCAACCAATCCCAACGGGGTGAGACGCTCGGCGCGAGGGACGCGCCTGTTTTGGCATCAAGCCCTGCGATTGCCGCCTCCTCTCTCTCTCTCTCTCTCTCTCTCTCTCTCTCTCTCTCTCTCTCTCTCTCTCTCTCACGCTATCTCTCCGCTATCACTCTGTAGCAGTGTGCCGCGCCCAGTGTCAAATTCAGGCCGTTTGAAGTGCGATTTTTATGCTGCCGCGGAGAGAACTGAGATGCCGTTTTCTTTGCAATATCGCTCTCGGGAGATACGCCGAGACGTCGGATTTGAAAAAATCCAGAGGCTAAACGGGCAACGTGCCGGCAGGCCCAAAAATGACAATAGAGGCAGCGGTGCGTAAAAACAGGTTACGCGCTCGAAAAATCCTCAATTATCCACAATTAGTATGCAAAAAAAGCATAGGTGGGAGAGGCAGCTATTCAAAACATCTTTCTCTCTTTCTCTCTCTCTCTCTCTCGTTGGCGGCAAACCCACCGCGACGACGACGCTGCTTTAATGACTGCTTATTTCATAAGCCACGGACGCCTCGCGGCACGCGCGACTACGACGGCGACTACCAAGCTGCTAATTAGTTTTAATGGATTGTTTTGCGCTTTCTCTCCCTCGGCTTCTACCACCGCCGAAATTTTGATAATAAGCTGAGTTCGCGGTTTGTTTGACATCTCTCAGTTTCGCTGACATTGCCAATGTGCGACTTTTCTTCACGCGTGCTGATCATGAAAAGTTTCTCGACGGAAAGCATTTTGTTTGTTGTTAGGTGTTCTCGAGCGCGTCCAAAGTGACGATGCCCTACGAGAACCAGCATGGTAAGCATTCTGGCCACGATAGCCATTCAGCATCTACCTTAAGCTTTTCCTTCATTTTATTTGTGCATCTCAGGCTTCTAAAAGACTGAAATTTGTGAATTCATTTCCGGTGAAACGTTAAATAAAAAAAACTGCTGGATAGTTGACATTGTGGCAAAAATTAAATTAACGTATTAACTACATGAACTGGAGGATTGGCAGATGACAGAAGGCGCATTTAAGACCCACGACTAAAATCTAAAAACTGTAAAGAATACAGTCTGGGATGTAGCAATTAATTCAAGTTTTTACAAATCTAATCAACATTTATAAATAGAGAAAGCTACTCATTCTCATTCATCACAAACAGTTGGATAAGAAGAATCGACGGAGGAGAAAAAGCGGTGTTAAGACAGAATTAAACGACAAATACGGAGGATTTGCCCCTAGCATTTCAAAGGGGGAAAAGCACGAGAGAGCAACTAGGCGATGCTCGCTCCGACGCATTACCATAAACTCATCATTTATACAAGTGCAACGCCGCGCGCCAAGCACACTGAAATATGACGCGCGCGCGTGTTACGCTGCCTCGTGCTTGCAGGTTAATGGATAGGCTACGCAAAGACTCGACGTGCTGATAAACGTTAACGCGCTCTATGCAAGGGCTTCAAAGCAGACGCTTGTTTGCATTTCGACAATGATAAAAAAAAGCAGCAAGCATCGTTCGACGTATTAAAGTGATAGCGTGACGACCAGTGGCGTTGTCGTTGGCAATATCCTTCCGCAGAGCGAGCCCTGCGTTTGCTTTTTTTATTTATTTATTTATTTTTTTTTATTTTCTTTATTTTCCGAGTGACGCCAGTGATTGATGCCTGCGCTTCATGGATTTTCATTAGTGTCAAGCGTCCACGACGTAGTTGCACGGTTCTTTTTTTCCTCCTTCTCCCTGCGCTCGCTACCGCGGACCTACATCCACGATGCCCTATCGATGAGTTTCCCGAAGCTGCGATGATTATTGCGGCCCCGCACAGAGATTCATTTTAATTTTTGGAAAGGCGAATACGCAAACAAGGTAATTGCATTCGTCAAAAGGTATTTTTCACTCTCGCTAGTAGGAGGCGGGTATGCGTAACGGGTAAACACATACATCCTCGACGCGCGTGTATCCGCTCCCGTGCTTTTTAAAAGCGCCGGGGAACGGAAAATGAAAAATAGAGTGACAAAATCGTTACATATGAAAAATACATCTAAATCACCGTGGATTTAACGTGCCAAAGGAAAAGCACGTTTATCTCGGCTTTTTTCCGTCAACTGACTGTTGTTTTTTCGCGCCGTGACGATCGCGCAATTAATCAATCGGCTTTATAATAAAAAAAAATTATCGATGGATACCGTTAAACAAACCCAATAAGTCCAGCCGCGAAATTTATTTGCGAGAGAGAGAGAGAGAGAGAGAGAGAAAGAAACGAGCCCGTCAACCGGGTCATTTTTCAACGACGCCAACAGAGGCCAGAGCAGAGTTGTTTTCGTTGTGTGCGTGTGTCGCGTGTATTTTATAGTTTCGGCCCCAGTGTTGACGGACGGGGGTACAACGACCCGACGCCCGCACCCCTCTCTCGTTCTTTCTCTCTTCTTTTCTCTCTCCCGCTCTTTTTTCCAACGCGCGCATCTTTTTCTCTCGTTCTTCGCGAGATTTACGCGCAGAGGTCTGGATTTATTCGTTTATTTATTTTGATGACTATTTCGGACGTGTGTGCCGGGATGAGTCTCTTTTCCGCTCTTTATTCGAATTCATGAAGAGGTTAGCGCGCTTTTTGGGGACTTTATTTCGTCGTAATGCTTATGGAATGCCCTAACTTTGTCAATCAAATCAAGTTATGTTTTGAAATTACGTCGTTGTTTTATAATAAATCGGTACTAATATTCTTATCGATAAAAGAGAATAAAATGAAATGCAAGAAAAAATATATTATTACAAGAAAAAAATATTATCTGAATGTTTAACCCGTTCGATTTGAAGTACGTTCACTTGAAGGATTAGCATATTCCAGCAACCGTAGGCCCACTGGAATTATCGGATGGTTTTACGATATATCTTGGAACGATTAAAAGTTCATTGATTTCTGTCAAATGATGAACACTAGTTTAATGTTTATTTGCCAATTAGTATCGGTCGTATTAATTTCTTTTAATTACATCTATGGTATTAGAATCCTATAAGTTCTTATCGTCGACATGTGCACGGTTCGGCCAGTGCAGTAAATAAGCTCGCTGTACAACGCTAGTATTGTATTGTCCGGATAAGTTAACGCGCGAGTACAAGACCGGTTTATCCCCCTAACCGGTTTCGCCGATCGTAATATTATAAGAGCATCTCGAACTCGCGTTCCTTGAATTAACATCATTCGCAGTGTTCACCGCGATGGGATGCAAGTACCTGGCACTTGTCCTTATCTTCGTCGCTCCGACTTTTGCGCTTGACCTGGACAGTTTACACGCGCTATGGAACCTCGCAAGATTGAAACACGGGGGTTTGAGCTTCCTGCAAGATATCATGAAATTCGCGAAAGAAGAATTACCAGACACGACACCGCGTCATGGGCAAGAGTACGACTTTATCGTGGTGGGCGCTGGAACAGCCGGCTCGGTTATCGCAGCGAGACTAAGTGAAGTTAAAAATGCGAGTGTGCTACTTATCGAAGCTGGTGGTCACGAACATTTACTGATGGACGTGCCGCTGCTTGCGTTGTTCCTGCAGCTCTACAGGGATATCGATTGGGGATACTTGGCCGAGCCCTCCAATGATTATTGCCGTGGGGTGCATAATCATCAGTGTAAGCTTGCCAGGGGCAAGGTCATGGGTGGTACTGCCGTCTTAAATTTCATGATCGCCACCAGAGGTAACTTTCACTGATCAATTTCTTCACAAAGCAAAATAATACAGTTTCTTTGCATCAACTTTAGAGAAATATTCAAATTCTTTAGGTAATAAAAGAGACTATGAGGAATGGGCCGAGCTAACAAACGATGACGACTGGGGGTACGAAGCTATGTTGAAATACTTTAAAAAATTGGAAAACTTTGAAGTCGATCTCGCTCCAGTAGAGAACAAGTTTCACGGATTTGACGGTCCATTGAGAATTGCTAATGCACCATGGCGTTCGAAGCTAGCGAGAGCCTTCGTAAAAGCAGGCGAAGAAATGGGATTTCCTCCATTGGATTACAACGGACGTAAACAAACAGGTTTCTCATACGTTCACACAAATCAAATAAATGGTGAAAGATTGAGCAGCAATCGGGCATACTTGCATCCCGTGAGAAATAGAAGTAATTTATTTCTCACAATGAACAGTCGGGTCGATAGGGTTTTGATAGATCCAAAAAAGAAAATTGCTCGTGGCGTAAAGTTTCGCAAATTCGGTAAGAGAATAGAGGTGTATGCCAGGAAGGAAGTCATACTGAGCACCGGAGCGTTCGCTTCGCCTCACCTTCTTATGCTATCTGGCATTGGACCAGCAGAACACCTGAAAAGTTTCAACATACCCGTAATGGCAAATTTACCTGTAGGCGAAAATCTAATGGATCACATTGCCTATGGTGGCTTATTTTTCGAGGTTAATCAAACGTTAGGAATCGTAGTATCTGAATTTCTGAATCTAAGAAACCCCAGTATAAATGATTACTTAACAAGGAGAACCGGTCCGCTTGCAACTGCAGGTGGAGTCGAAGGACTCGGTTATATCAACGTCGATGATCTCCGAGTCGATAACGAAGAGCCTAACATTGAACTCATGTTCGGTTCTGTTCACCTGGGATCGGATGCTCTCATTAAAGTGCCATTCGGCATCAGGGAAGACATCTATCGTCAATATTACGCCGACGCGCTTCACAAACATGCTTACATCATTTTCCCACTGCTTATGAAACCCAAAAGTCGTGGCAAGCTGTTACTAACCAGTGGAAATCCCGCTGTCAAACCTAAAATCATAATGAACTACCTCTCGGATGCCGACGACGTGAGGGTGGCCATTAAAGGTATTCGGCTGGCACGTGAAGTCGGAAAGACCAGAGCGATGCGGAAATATGGCTCGAAAGTTTGGGATCGCCATGTTCTTGGATGCGAACATTGTCTGTACGACTCGGATGAGTACTGGGAGTGTGCATTGAGAACTCTCACCGTGACTCTATGGCACTTTTCGGGGACTTGTAAGATGGGTAGCTACTACGATAACAGTGCAGTTGTCGACACCAGATTACGAGTAAGTAAATAGCAAATGATCGAGCGAAGACGCAAGCGTGCATTAAAACTCATGAGACATTATTGTTTTGTCGTTATAGGTTAAGGGAATCAAGAGACTACGGGTAGCAGACGCCTCCATTATACCGACCATTCCCACGGCGCACATAAACATCCCGGTTATCGCGATCGCCGAGAAGTTCGCGGATATCGTCAAAGCCGACTGGGGCTACATTTAGTTAATGAAGATGATTATGGAGCATTTTACGCAACGAGTTTCTATCTCAAGGAATTTTCGGAAGACGAGGGGGAGGCTATTCGAGTTCCTCAAACGACGTTGAACGCGATAGATATTTAAGTAGCTTTTATTACCGCAGATACGTGTAATGCAATTTGTGAGAGTTTCAATTTGTTACTTTGTTGTACTCGGCTTACTGCTCTTATAAAATTATTAATCGGATGAGGACTATACGAGTTCGTCTTATAAGACATTCGCGAGAGGTTACTGATTTTTTGGAAACCTGTTTTTTTTTTTATTTCAATCTCTTCCTTGAGCACTTATAATCTTTATAATACGAGTAATGTCTGATGATCGACCGTGAATATTTCCCCTCTATCGAATGTTAAAATAATTCGCATTTAAATCGAAAGCATTAAAATAATCCAAACGATTCATGAAAAAAATATTTTTGTTTGCTAGCATAATTATTCGTCACCTTAATATCCCTCGCAACGAAAAAAAGGAAAAGCACGGAATGCAAAAAATCTCTTCTCTATAGAATGCAGACTATATCGATTTCCGTGAAACAACGTGCAGCAGCAGGCAGCAGCAGGCAGGCAGGCAGCAGCAGCGAAAGATGTATCTCAACTTTTCAGGCATTTGCCTCGCAGAGCGAGAGACTGAGCGCACATCGTGCTTTAATGCAACACACCATTGCGTACAGCAGCACAGTACAGCAGCTTCCTTTGTCTACGTCTTGGCGCGCACGGATGGGGAAAGGGTACAATCTACACGCGCGCGCGCGCACGCACGTACACACACACACGCACACACACATACTGCACAGAGAGAGAGAGAGAGAGAGAGAGAGAGAGAGAGAGAGAGACGAGGGCGCAAACATCGTCAGGCAGGTGGCCCATTTGCATTTCGTTTGTGTGTGGTGCTCGCACAACTTCCCCTTTTGTCTACGTATATGTTCATCGCGTCGTGAGCGAATATTTTTTACTTGCATGCGCGCACGCACAAGCGTATGCATATTTATACAGTCGCGAGGAATATGTCTCGATGGAGCGAAAATCGATTGGCGGAGGCAAGACTTGATTTTTTTTTCTCGTCGTCCGCGTAAATTATTTGCGCGTACGTGCTTCTGTATATATATTGGCGAATTGATTCGCTGCTTGCAAACCATGTGTGGTGCTTCGTATGCGAGTAAATGCATATTCAGAAAATTCATCAAAAAAAATAAGAGAATGGGAAAATAACAGTTGTTTGTTTGTTGCGCATTATATTGCGTAGGAGTGAGATTTTGAATCCATAATCATATAGCGCGTGGAAACGTTGAATGAGGTTTTGATGAAAATTACTATGATGATAAAATCAGGCAAGAATAAGCCGTAAAATTGGAACGCTTTTGAATTGCAAATTCCACGTCATGAAATGTATGCCTAGATATATGTACATATATATACGTTACAGTATGCCACGTGTTACGCCCAATTAAACATTAAATATTACACTGCCAAACAAATTTATATATACGCACGCGATTAAATTTTTTTCCATGAACAATGAGGTCAAGCTTCGTTCGATAAATTTTTTTCAGCACACGAGCTTTTTTCCGGCAGGTTTCATGAATTAACGAACGCGCGATAGACACAGATGCGTAATTAATGCAAATTTTGATGCTATTCGAAAGCAATTTCAATTTGTTACGAAGGCGAAACTTCCCGCGGGAGGAGGGCACTCTCTCTCTCTCTCTCTCTCTCTCTCTCTCTCTCTCTCTCTCTCTCTCGCGTGAGGGGAATTCAAAAGTGATTCAAAAGGACTTGAACTTCGGGAGCTGAATTGCTTTCAAGGAGCAGAGGAAGGCAAAACTTCATTTCTTTGTGAACTAGTTTCGAAAATTCATCTTACTCATCAACTAATTTACAAGCTGGGTTATATTCGCAATATTATTTTGCGTCTTGTCTAATTTGCAGCAAATGGTTGTGTAGTTTCAATTGGAGTATATTAGAAAGTCATTGATACCTTAATATATTTGTTACTAAAAGCATTGACGAGGTTATTTTTTTATTGGTTATGTATTAGTTCAACAGGATGTATATGTGTATCAGATTGACGAAAGCGTATCAAATTTTACATAAACAACTCATAAAAAACATCCACAGTAAGGAAGCTGACGTAGCAAAAACTTAATTTATTCGAAAAGTAACTTTAAAGACTGCTTATGCTACTCACCAATTAATTGCAAATAAAAAATGATTCGATTATAGGTTCAATAGTCTACGCAAATACCATTATAAGTCTAATCAATTTATTACTGCAATCGTCTGTTTGCGAAAGTTGTGATCAAACTCAAGCAAAAAAGACAGAAAGTCCACAATGGTTGAACGAAATATCGATATAATAATGACTAATTCTAAGAGCGTAGTTTAACGGCGGTAACAGGCAAGCAGCATGAGACGACATAAATTCAACTGGGAAACGAAGGGGCTTTCCTCGCAACCGCTGAATCCCTCTCTCTCTCTCTCTCTCTCTCTCTCTCTCTCTCTCTCTCTCTCTCTCTCTCTCTCTCTCTCGCTCTTGCGCAGCGAAACTTTGCGGGCAAACAAATTCCTAACGGATATCCGTCGACTGAGAGAGAATGCGAGCCTCCTGTCTTGATCTATTTGCTGCCTAGTTATTACTCACTTGTGGACAATAAAGAGGTACCGAAGACAACGAAGTGGAAGCCCGAACCCTTACCTTTGGTGAGTTAACCTTAACATTTTTGCACGAGGGAAGTTTATAAATGACGATGCTTGTAACTGTAACGATAAAAGTGACTTCAAGACTTTTTATTAATTTATGCACAGCAGCAATCGACCTGTAGTGCATAGGAAAGGCTGATTCCATGAATTTTTCATGAATTTCATTTCCATGAATGTTTCGCAATATGTAACTTGTCAACAATAGAACGATGAAATGGGCAATGGAGCCTGAGAGAAAATGTCTTTCTTTAGAATTCGAAGCGTTTTGACATTCGTCAAGCCAATTAAATAAATGTCAGTGCTTTTGCACAACTCGCTAAACCACACCAGGCGTCAAGCGTAATTGCGACATTAAAAAAGCTCTTCCATTACATTCCTCAATCTTGAAAATGCAAAGAGTAGAAGAGGAGCGCAAGTAGTGTAGCATTCCAAGGGGGAGGCCTTCGAGTCTACGAAACGAAGTGACAGAGCGCGCGGGGTAGAGGGTGGAAGGGCGTGCTAATGCGAGATGCTCGCGATCTCTCTCTCTCTCTCTCTCTCTCTCTCTCTCTCTCTCTCTCTCTCTCTCTCTCTCTCTCTCTCTCTCTCTCTCTCTCTCTCTCTCTCTCTCTCGTTCTCGGCGCAAACCGAACGAACGCGAGCGCTGTTGCGCAGTGTGCTATTCTTGTATTTGTCTTACACACGCCGGCTTTCGAGCTTTGCAGCAGAAGAAGAAAGCTTCTCACTCGGCTCGGCGTCGTTAAATTGCGATTTGTTTGTTTTTTGCAAGCTCATGCTATTAGTTGGGCAACAACTTTGACTACTGTTTGCGGCGAAACTAATTGACGTAGTAATAATGATAGGCTGTAGAAATTTTCGCTTCGGTAAGCTCCTCTCAGGCAAAGTGAAAGCCTAAACTTCTTGAAAATAAGGGTCGAGAGAGAGAGAGAGAAAGCTGCCTACCAATGAATAATTCGTGCTCAGCAACTACCCTGCTGTCTAATCCTTTGACGTTCCCTCTCTTTCTTTCTCTCTCTCTCTCTCTCTCTCGCTCCTGCCAAGTTATTATCCTGCTAAATTACCTCCGCCTTTCTTGCCCCTCGCGTAAGACGAGCTGATATTAAAACCCTCTTCCCCCTCCCCCTTCTCGGACACGTCTTTTTTCGCTCTAGCATTGTCTTTCCAAAGCCCAAGTTTATCTGCTGTGGATCGGCGACGACGCGGACGGCGCTTTTAATTAAGTAGACGACCACGAGGCGATATGCCTTTGCTCTGCTCGAGAGTTAAATTGGACGCGACGTTTGTCGAGATTTAACGCGCGCGCGACTGCTTTCAGAGTGCTGGCTAAATACAACCAACAATGAGAAATTTAATTTTCTTAACAAACCTTTTCTGAGAACAGCACCCATTGCTGTAGGGGATGATCGCGAGTCTTTATGGAAAAACACCGCTCAGTTCATAACTGTTACTCGATGCACTCGATCAAGAAAAAGTTTTCAAGCCCACGACTGGACATAGAATATGCCAGTCGACGAAACCGCAACAGAAGAACTTGCAATTTGGATGGCTACGCTCGGAGAAACTAATTTCCCGGTAATAAAGACCGTAAAAGGGAGGCATATAGAAAGCCCAGAGTTGCTATTCATTCGTCAATCGAACGAAAAAATAACGTATCTCGCACGCGCAGCACCTTTCAATAAACTTTGACCGCACTCAAAGCGGCAATGCAAGCGCTCTTTTTTCCCCTCTCCGTACAGGAGAGCAAAAAAAAAGAGCCAAGTTGGCGCGTATGAAGTGACGCGGCCAAGCGGCGGCTGCGGTTCCTTTTGAGCGTGGCACCCACCGCCGAATAAATAAACGCCGCGGCGGCGGCGGCCACTTTTTTTTTACCAAGAGCGCGCCGCGCCGATTGGACCATCGGCCTTTCCTGCGCGCCGCCTGCTTTTGACGAATTTTCTCTTTTCCTCGCTCGCAAGAGGGGGAGAGGCTTTTTTTTTTTTTGGTTTGTCAGTCGAGCGCACTTTTTCGTGAAAGTTGTGCGCTAACGCTGCGGGAAATAAGACGGTCGCTTCCGAAAGGAAAATAGTTTTTTAGGATTCGACTGGATCGTCAGCAGTCTATCGAATAAACAAATGTTTCACGCACCAAACGGGACGAAGAAATGTAACGTTTAGGCTCACCTACATACGCTTGACAAAGCAAATGAGAGAGAAAAGAGCGAAGGGAAGGAAAATATTTTAGAAGGGTAGCGAGAGAAAGAGAGAGAGAGAGAGAGAGAGAGAAGGGCAAA